CCGTGTTGAGCACGTTCTCGCTCGACACGCTTGATTAAGGACACCGGAGTTGTCTTGCCACCATCAGCTGCTCGAGCCGAAATAACAACCGTTGATACAACGAGGCCAGGGAGAATATGTGTCGAGATCCGCTTGAGAATACCATTGGTGTGACCCCAGTTGAAGAGCTGTTCGGCAAGAATAGCCAACAGGTCAAGTCTAGGAAGACGACGCTCGATGACTAAAAGGCCAGGTGTATGCTCGAAGACGACAGGTTGGAGGTAAAGAAGAATAATGTCGAGATCGGGAAATGATTCGGGAAGAGACTCCGCAAAGAGCCAATTTACGACTCGACAATGCTCCAGAGGTATTTGTACGTAGCTCTTCTTGAAGCTCCGCCCGCCAGAGGGAAAGCGAGCGATACGCGTCGCTTCTTGACTTTCCATCAACGGCGAGGCCTAGTTTGGCTCCAAAACCAGCTTGGGCTAGAGCGATTGCAGTCTTGATTCCACAGTGCGGAACTCCATCCTAGGGAGAAGTGTGAGACAAAGAAGGCAAAGAGTGAAGCTAACATACATGATAATCACCGCCAACAAGTATGGCGATTAGAACAAAGTCATTACGAGTTAGACCAAGTATCTGTTTGATGTCTGCTGCAGAATAAATCGAGCCGCTTAGATGTTTCTTGTCTTCTGAGCGGCTAAGTGAGGACGTTAAGATAGACAAACAGACATAAAATGACAACATACATACGCAACACTGAGGTTGCCCCAAAAGCGAAGCAGTCGGAGTCGTCTGATTGGACCATGTCAATCGGCACCGGTATCCCGATTGCAGACATAGTCGCAAGTGTCGCTTCGGCCTCTCCGGGGGCCTATGACTGTTAAGCAACGGTGCTGAAGAATGAAAAGAAAACATACGATGAACCAAACGCAGCCAAAGGCCTCGATAATCTTCTTGAAGTCTGCAGAAAGGCGATGTCCACTTTTGCAGATTCGATGACCATGCTTCATTCCAGGCCGATGGGGCCCATCGAATACAAAAATGAGAGTAACAGTAGCGGTGAGAAACCGCTCCACGCGTGCCCAAAGCTCTTGCTTGGCATTTCCATGTCCAATTTTCTCGTTCGCGGCAGCACAATGCATCCAGGCACTGGAGGGCGTCGATATAAGTTTGGATTTCATAGAATACAAGACACAGCTATACCTTGCATCCACACCTATAGCTATGGTTCGTGTTCCACTTGCATTTCCCAAAAAACCGGTATTCAAGGCATAGGAGACCACCGACACCTTTTGTGCAATGGTCTCGAGCTCCTTGTTACGGATTGAGAATGTGCATACAAACAAACAAAGGAAACACACCGGCCAAATCCTGTTAATCCCCATGGTGGTTGACAGTGGTCGAAGGCGAAGGGAAGGGGTTGCGCTTGTCGAAATGATCGAGCCTCTGTCGATCGTTTGCCACATAGAGCGAAGTGGTTGGACTGAAGAAAGTACTGCAACAGATTTCAAGAAGGTTAGCATAGAAAGAGAAGAAGAAGAAGAGAAAAAAAAAGGGAAAATGAAGGGGACATGCCACGCAGGATCCAAGGGCGAATCTCTTTGCGGCATGCGTAGATATAGGTGGAGGGCAAGAGAATGAAGCAAAAAGAAGGTGAAGAATGAAGCAAAAAAGAAGGTGGACTTACATGGCAGCAGTTGGACGTCGCCACTTTGCTCTTTGTGGCAGAGTGTGCCCCACCCATTTCAGTCCTGGGCAGCGACTTCGGGCTCAGCATCCATGACGTCGGTGACAAATGGTCCCTACAGCTGCTTTCGTGGAATATGAGTGAGGGTAGAGCCTGAGGGTAGACCGTGAATATTCGAGAGGGCAGAGAAAAGGCTTGAGATGGCGGATGAGAGCAGAGGCGCGTCCAGTCACAGTCAGCTGCTGTCCACCGCATTTGGCTGTTTATGATTGTCAACAACACGTCGCGTCGTTGTGTTGTCAACAACAAACTATCATGTGTTGTCGGATTGAAGGCCGTCTAAGAATGGTGAGGCAGCAAGACAAGCCGGTACTGGCAACCGACAAGACCGACCAGTAAACGTTCTCGCGTAGACATTCTTCTGTTCCCCATATGTCAGAAACGTCTTTTTTTCTAGGTATCTCGTGTGCTCGTGGATTTTAGCTGGTGAGAAATGTCAGATCCTGACACTGAACCCAAGTGAAAGACCGTTTAGCGAAGTCGCAAGACATTTGTGGATCGAGATAAGCGATGGGACACGCAAACAGCCCGGGAACATTGGAACGTTGGGTGTCGCGTTGATTCAAGTTAGGCGAGGCGAGTGTCCGATTGTGAGACGAGGATTGGATTCATGACATTAATTGCAGCATGCTCACGGGTGCCTCTAGTACCTTTGAGTTTCTGAGTTATCATCTGCTAAGCCTTACTACCCAGCCCACCACCACCACCCCCGTCACCCTAGCTTGCTTGCAGACCAGCCAAAAACGACAAGCTTACATCAACCCAATGCCGCCATTACACCAGCACCAGCCATGGTATCATGCCCAGCAGTCAAACGATAGTTTTTGGTACGTTCATGCCTATCTGTCCCATCCCCATCTATATCCTTTCGTTATCCTTTCGGACCTGACTTTCAATTGCACATTTGTTGTGCCAATTGTTGCGTCGTTTCGCGTCGGTTTCACATCAGTGGTCGCGTCGTCGCCGTTTTGCATGCTTGTTGTGCATTCACATCTCAGGCCCGAGGCCCGGGTGTGGCGCGCGCGTTTTTGTGTGGCGTGTTTTTGGTGCGGGGGATTTGGTGCGGGGGATTGGAGTTGGATGGGGGGTTGGATGTGGTGTGCGGTGGCGTGGGTGGTGTGCGTGGCGTGGGCGGTTGGATTTGGATGTTCGCCGTTTCCAAACCCTCCCCTCCCTGCTCCCTGGATTCACCTCCCTGGATTCACGGGTTTGCCTACGGATTCCTGCGGCCCCGCCCGTTTCCACCCTTCATTCCCTCCCCCACGCTTCCGCCTTCCTTCCCTCCCCCCGCTTTCCCCCGCTTCCTTTTTCCTGTCCTCCACACTTCCGTTTGCTTTCCCTCACTTCCGTTTGCTTTCCCTCCCCGGCACACGCATACATGTTTGCCTCGCCTCCATACACGTTTGCCTCCGCTGCCTCCGCTGCGATCGCGGCGTGTACGATTGCAATCGAGATCTCTCTCGACACGATCGTTGCTTGGCTTGTTTGCCGCCGCTTGGCTGCCTCCCCATCAAACGTCACCCAAATGTGACGACGGTCTATTTGTTCGTTTGAATATTCACTTCTACCTGCGACGTGCCCGACGAGCTGTGGCTCGAAGTCGCCTCCCATCTAACTCGAGAGCACCTGTCCGCACTCTTCCGGGTGGACTGGCGCCTCAGCCAGCTCACCCGGCCTTTGCTATTTGCCCACTTCACGTTTTCGCGCACGTATTGCTCATCGCCAACCCTGCTGTTTCCCATACCTTCGCGCCCGGCCTTTCGCAGTGGATCAGAACGGGTAGGGTTCTGGATCTCCGAGACTGTTGCACCCCTTGTTTGCTCTTGCCGCACTCGCCACACAGATGCCCGTTGGCGCGGGATTCGTGCTGCCCACCGATGAAGAGCTTTGCGCGCTTTCAGCACGTGTGGTCGGGAACATCGGCAGCTTCGCTAATCTACGGCAGCTGCACGTCGACGGCGAAACTCTCTCCACAGCCGCGATCACCGCCATCCACGGCCTGCTGCGCCTACAGCAGCTTGACATCGATGGCTGCACGCTCGATGATGCGACCGTTGAACTGTCACTGCTTCCGACCCGCGCCCCACTCACTCGGATCGAGTTGCCAGGCTTCCTGTCCCTCCACCCGGAGAAGGAGCGCTTCTGGAGCGCGTTCTTCAATACCGAATGCCTGCAAGTCCTATCTTTGAACACGGCCCTTGCGTTTTGGCACGGAGACCCGCGCGATGTGCCCGTTTTCGCGCATACCACGAAGCTGACGCTGCTGTATGACGAGGCAGTCCCCGGGCCGGCGGCATCCTTCACCGAATTGCTGGCGAAAGCGTTCCCCTCTGTTCAAGACCTCGGCTTATTTCCGGCGTTCTGTCCATCGCTGGGGCCAGGAGAGCCTCCCCAACCGGCGGGCACGCCGGGTGAATCGTGATGCTTTGACCAATGCGCTTCGGACCGCAATGTATCCGCCCGCCGGACCTGGGAACCTTGTTCGGCTACGTGGTTTCGAGGGTATCCTGGGCATCTTCTCTGAAGGCCCGTGGCGCATAACTCACTTCGGCATGGCCACGAACATCTTCAACGACCTGAGCTTCCTCATTTTCAGGTTCCCCCCATGCGCCACCCTCACGCATCTGTCGCTGACGGGGTATCATGCCGAAAAGCAGGATTTGGCTGCAGTCCTGCACCTTTACCCTCGACTTGAGGCTTTATACGTTCGCGGGCTGGATTTGACACTTGTGAGCGATCTTTTCCGCTGTATGCCTGCCCGGCTTGACTTCGATGCCAGCAAATGTCTTTCTGGGCCGAAATTTCGACCGGCATCACTCTCCCATCTACCCTTCGCGCACTGCTCTTCACAACCCGCTTCCCAGCTGCAAGAGATAACGCGACACAGGCCAATATTTCGCCCGCCGACGCCGAGGCGCGTGTTCTACTGGAAGCGTACATCAACCAATATCCCCAGCTGACGCTGCTTTGGATTCGCGGCAGGGACTTTTTCATCATGCGCAACTGTGAGGCGAACGGGGTCGACGAGCGCGTGGCAGCCGCTGGACACACTGTTGACGCGGTAAGCGAGAAGCACATTGCCTTTTGTCGATCGGCAGATTTGATCTGAACCTCGTCCGCAATTCGGTCAAGGTGCCGCCCATCGGATCGTCGGATAGTCTTCTGCAAAGATCGACCACAAGGGGAGGCATGATCCAGGGAGCATTCCTTTTAATTTCTTCGGGTAGCGACTTTCATTGTATCCAATAGGTATAAAAATATTACCGAGCGCTCAGATCTTCGCAAACAGCTTCGTGCTGCTCGTGAAGCGCAGCAGCGACACGAGGCCCGCGGCGCCGAGCGCCATCGAGCCCGCATACCACATCGCGGGGTGGTACGCCTCGAGCGACGCGTCGTTTGCGCTGCCGCCATACGCACTCAGCAGGTACCCCGCGATCGGCGCGCCCATGAGGTACCCGCCGACCCAGCCCGTCACGGTCATGCCCATCGCGACGCCGACGCGCGCCGGCCCGAACACCGCGGCGACCACCGTCGGCATCGTCGCGAAGAACCCGCCGTTCGCCGCGCCGTTGACGACCGCGAAGACGACCAGGGGCGTGAGCGACGTGGAGACGGGCCAGATGGCGAGCATGCTCAGCGCGGTGAGCACGAGCGCGAGCAGCAGGACGTTCACCGGCCCGATGCGGTCGCTCGCGAACCCGCACGTGAGCCGCCCGAGCGCGGAGGCGAAGTTGAACGTCGCGACGAGCGCGGCGCCGGCCCGGGCGGAGAGGTGCAGCGAGGCGGAGTAGAGCGGCAGGAAGAAGGGCGGGACGAAGAGCGGGAAGGTGCCGATTGCGCCCGCGAGGAAGAGGGTGATGAATTTGGGGTCGCGGAAGAGGGACGGGTCGACGAAGCCTGTTGTGCGGATGGGGGTGCGCTCTTTTACGAGCAGGGCAGCGGGAATACCGGTTGCAAGTGTGATGATGCCCAGAATACGAAAGGTCCAGCCCAGGCCGAGCTTTTCGATCAGCGCGTCGATGAAGAAGCTGTTGACCGCTCCACCAAGTCCGCCGGCGGCATAGACGATCCCGTTCGCGAGACCCCGTCGGTTGTGGAAGTACTGTGCGGGGGTAATAGACACCACCATAAAGCACAGACTGAAAGAGTGGTCAGGCCGGCGGTCAGGTGCAAAAGGCAGTCTCACGCACCTCGTCCCAATCCCCGTAATCGCCCCCGCGGTCACGAACAGCGCCCCAATATTCCCAATCGCGAAGCCACTCAGCAGCTGCCCCACCCCGATCATCGTGATCCCCAGCAGCGCCGTCCTCCGCGCCCCGAGGTGGCGGATCATGCGCGCATTGACGACCGCGAGACCAGCAATGCACGCAACGGCGGACGAGCCGACAAACGAGAGCGTGGACGGGGAGGCGAGGCCGCGGCTGACGAGTGCGGCCTGGACGATGCCCCAGCTGTACGATATACCCAGGTACCACCACGCTATCGGACATTCAGCAGCAGCCAAAGGGAAGAAAGCGCGACGCACTGATGATAGCGCAGCCAAGTACCACTACCCAGCCGTAGCCGCCGTCAGGCACGTCTGAGAGGGGCGACGGGCCTGGGACCGGTTTTGCTGTTGTGGAGTTGGTGCGTCGCTCGACGAGCTCGATGTCGGCGGAGGACATGGCGGGCGGAGGCAGCTTAAAAACGAGTCATTTCCAGGGCCATTTCAATGATTTCATATATCAAGCGTTTCAGCCGCCGTCGGCATCGGCGGCGTCCGGGAGCTGTATGGAGGCCGGAAGGAGATGGCCAGGAACGCAGGGGTGTGCGTGGGTGTGCGCCCTCCGTTGGCCCTCCGCGCTACAGAGCCCGCATGGGATGCAGAAAAAAGTTTGCGTTACCTGTCACATTACATATTGATAGCCTCCCGTCACCGTGACTGCCACGTCGTCTTCCGTCTCCGCACGTGCAATGCAGTTTATGCAGAGAAAGACCCGCGGCAAGCGGCTAGTATCGTCACTTGCTGCTGGCAGGCGGACAAAGAAAAAAAAATATTGACAGGCCCAATCATACACAATGGTTACCGAAGCCTGGCTCGAACAGGCCTTGGACCGTACCAGGACACCCACCGGTGACCGCAGCTCTCCGCTGCTTGAGGAACCTGCCATCGAGTGGAACACAGCCGCCTATTGAATCTGCTGAGACTGCTCTGCTGTGCGGCGCTGCATCGGTGCCGGCCCGGGCAAAATTAAAGTTCTACCGATGGGGCCGTTATGCCACAAGCCCGCGCCGAACAGGCCTTGCGCCAGTGATCCCCCGGTCGCGCGACCCAGGTCCCACCCAGCGCTTCTGGCTCCTCCTCCCACGAGACTTCGCATGTGGGCGTGGCCAAACGGCGTGGGCCTGCGCCAACGGGCGTGCACGCCCGTGATGGCGTGGGCGTGGCGTGGGCGGGCGTGGGACCCTCCGCGGAGACTATCCCCCGTCCTATGTCGGCGACCGCGACGCCTCGACGACCGTTATGTGGCGGTCACTTGTCCGCGACACCCTGTCGGCTCCAATCAGAACACATCAAAATGTGCTGATTGTCGTCAACCGCGATGCCAAGATATCTTGGCGAAGCGCCTTCTGGTAGCAGGGCCGTCCACACAACGTCCACGGCGCGGGTGCCCACTGGTTAGGGTGTTGTGGGGAGAGCAGTCCGGCCGATCCCTCCCCCCGCCTGCGTCTCTGCGCCAGGCCGGCCAGTGTCCACCACAGCTTGCTCTCCTGCCCTGCATTCTCTTTCCTGGCGCACCGGCAACACGTGCGCGCTGGTGCTCGTAATCATCATCTGCTACGCCGTCGCCGGGGCGTGCTATTGTTCGCTGAGAGGGTTCGCGGGCGGGGTCTGGCATGGGCCGGCCGGCCTATGTCGGTGGCCACCAGCCCGCACCGTTGGACTTGGGCCACTTGGCGGATCTCGCCGCCAACTGAGGATGGCGCAGTACTAAGCCTTCCCGCTCCATCAAAGCTCTGAAAGAGGTCATAGGACTCGCGGTATATAGAGCCCACGCCCGTTTGTCCGGCGTGCCAAGCAGGACAAACGGGCGTGCCAAGCCGACCGATGGGCGTGGCACGCCTGATGGGCGGGCGTGGGCTTTGATCGTCAGCCAAATCCCACGCCCACGCCCATCCACGCCCGTTGGCGCAGGCCCACGCCCATCGGGCACGCCCGAAAGTGACCTCTCTCCTCCCACTGCTCACTGCTCATGACACCGCATGAGTCTCCACCCCGCGCCAAGCCCGCCAAGCGCCTGGGCCCTCGTAACACCCCGGGCCGATCACGCGTTCGCGATCCGCGGATGGCATCTGTCCGGACCGCGGGTGGCGACCTGTGGCGACCTGTGGCGCCAGATATGATCAGTACACGATGAATATAGCGTTGCCGTTTCTCCGCGATCTGCGGCTTGGCGTCGACACGGGTGGACGCTTCGTAAGGCGATGGATCCCGGGGTCTGAACCAGAGAATCCGCCGCGTCGCGATCTCCTCTGGACGGTACCATCGCAGCGCCTGCTAGAGCTCCACTGGCCATGGCAGCCCACCCATCGGCAGATGCATCGCGCCCGGAACGCGGGTGAAGGCAAAGCTGGCGAAGCCGAGACGGCCGGCGCCGGCGAAGCCAAAGGCGCTGAAGGCAACAAGGGCGCCGAAAGACGGCGAAGGCACCAAAGCCGAGGCCGGCAAGGCCTAAGGCCCCAAGGTCGGCACCGGCGGGCCCTTCGGGTGCGTTCCCTCCCTTCCTTCCCGAGCCGGTGCATCGCTGACGATTGCAGCAGACCCGGCCGCAACGGCGCGAACTCAATGCACGCTTTTTCTGTGTATATTGTCTGCGCGGTTGCTGATGTGCTTGCAGCTTCTTCCCCGGCGCTGGACGGCCCCGCGCCGAGGAAGGCGGGGCGGCCGGGAAGGCCGACGCCGGGAAGGCCGGTGATGCCCAAGCCGGCGAGGCCAAAGAAGGCGCCGCAAACGCCAACACCGCGCAGGCCAAGTTCGACGCGGTCGTGCAGGCAATCGCGGCGAAGATCGCGCAGCAGCAGCTCAAGGACAACGGCGACGCGGTGCGGAAGGCGCAGGCGCTCGTGCAGAAGGCGGTCGAGCTCGGCGGGTGTCTCGCGGGCAAGGCGGGTGAGAATAATAAGGAGGGTGAGAAGGTGGGAGAGAATAAGGAGGGTGAGAACAAGGCTGGTGAGGCTGGGAAGGAGGGCGAGAAGAAAGAGGGTGAAACCGGCGAGGAAGGCGAGAAGAAAGAGGGTGAGGTCGGTAACGAAAAGGAGGGAGAGGCCGGCAAGGAGGGCGAGGAGAAGGAAGGTGAAGCCGGCAAGGCGGGGCGAGGCCGCGGGCGACAAGAAGGAGGGCAAGGAAGGCGACGCCGAGAAGGAGGAGGGTGCGGGTGCCGCCGAGAACAAGAAGGAGGGCGCCGCTGCCCAGAAGGAAGAGCGCCGCCGCGGCGTCCCGCCGCAAGCCCGCCGCTCGCGCCTGCCCCGCGGCATGTACTAGTAACCCACAAATTTGCGACCTCGTAGCCACGGTGTCTGTGTTGTAGTGTAGCGTTTTACCAAAAAGGACAAAATCGCGAAATGTCATACCAAGCCGTGCGCGCTGCGAACGCGCCTCGTGAGTCGTCGGTCCCGGTCCGACCGCGGCGGTACTGGAATACACATGAGATGTACTTTGAGTTGTCTTGTTTATCCCGACCTCGGTGCCACCAACTTGAACGACACAAAATAACTTGACAATAACCGCATAGGACCATCGCTCCCGCACGCTGCGAACGCGCGCCACCCGTGCCACGTGGGCGCTGGGCGTGGACTTCTGCCCGTGAGCCTGAGCTAGTAGTGCGCCAAAGCTGGACGATGCTTACCGTAAAGTTGCGACATTCAGCGCTATATATTCAGCCGCCAACCAAGCCGGCGCGGCGGCGACCGAGGTGGCGGGAAGGAAGAAGCAGGAATGCGGCTGTGATTGACGTGCGGCGCACGGACCAGGCGTGACGCACGTGCCACGCCAAGCGATGGTTGCCTGATGGCTGCCGAACAGGACTGTAGACGCACGTAGTAGTCTGCTATGGCATCAGCAAAATTGCTGGGGGGCCGGGTCCAGAAAATTGTTCTATAAAAAAATTCTTCTGGTCCCAAAATGGAATGAGTTCGTGTGCAGAATTGGCTGTGGTGCCACTGATTGTTTAAACTTAACCCATGTACACTAGCAAGGGATGTTCAACATGAGGTTTCTTTTCTGACCCTGGGAGCACCTGCTTCCCCTCTTGCCATACTAGGTAATATATTCCCATGATCTGCTATGTCATGAGCCTTACATGAGCCAATGATGTTAAATAACATAGTAGTGAAAAAATGAGTCAAAGATGTTGAAGATACCATTTTTCCTTGCAGGAATAGGTGTAAGTATAGATTGACTAAGTAAATCTGCCGTCAATGGGGTTAGTAAACAAGGAATTTTGCTCAGTTTGATAAGCAACTGATAAGCATGCACAACCCGCCCGGCTAAATTGCACCAGATCTTTGAGGGCTGATTTCTCTGGCGTGATGGGTGATGGTACATCCCCGCATCACGTCCGGCATGTCCCCACCGCCCTCGAATGATCTGGGACTGAGATTAGTGACTAGCAGTGGAAGGTCTGATCTCAGTCGCCTTCGCTTTGCCTCCGTCACTCAGTTTCACCTAACCCTGGCCACCTGTTTCAAAACAGGTGTGAGTAATTCAGAATGAATTACTCATAGCACCCTGACGTGAGTTGCTTGGTCTACATTTGCTGTGCTCTGAATTCATCTCTATCACTTTCAAGTAGTGATGGCCAAGTCCGGTTCGGTCCGGTTCTTGGCCCTTTTCGGCCGAACACCGGACCACCGGTTCGGTTCAAAACAGGATTTTGCCGAACATGAACGCCGAACGTCGGTTCGAACCGGCCCCGAACCGGCGTTTTTGGACCGAAAACGGCTGAACCTGGCCGAACCGAGGGCCAGGTTCGGTTCGGAAACGGCCTTGGCCGAACCTGAACGCCGAACGCGCGTTCAGTCCGGTCCGGTTCGGGTTCGAACCGAAATCCCAAACCGGACCTGGCCATCACTACTTTCAAGTCACCCTAGACAAGTGGGGCAATGAATTTTACTGTATACAATAATGAGCTTGTAAATGGAGCACATCTAGACACTGATTAAACAGAGCAAATATTATAATTTGAATACTCTTAATACTTGAGAACAATCCAGAGTTATAGCAGAATTATACGAGTCTAGATAGGTCTAGAGACCTAGATACACCCAGAAAGGCCAGAGTACCAGTTCTGGACCGCTCTAGCAGCACAGCCACAATGACTTCAACTGAGTCATACTGACTCCACCTGAGTCATAGTGCTTCTTTTGTCACATTATTAGTTTAATCGTCACATTACATAATTAATTTCTGAGTAGTATATAAGGAGCTCGATTGTAGTAGTGACAGGCTTTCTCACTGGTGTGAGAAAGAACAAGAAAAGCAAGAGCCCTTTAAACTGCTCTAACTGCAACCAAAGGCTACAGCACAACCAGAGAGGGAGAAGAAGAGGAAAGACTTTGGACTCTAAGGGAAACTCTGCTGGGGGAAACTATATGATATGATATGGAAACTAAACTAGAGACAGGCTTATATACACTACTAACTAGGAGCTAGGAGAAGGAACAGGAACAGGAACAGGAACAGGAACAGGAACTAGAAGGAAACATATGGAACACATAAAGGGAGAGATCAGGAACAACTACCAAATATAGACAAACAAGGCCAAACAAGCAACAACAAGCCAAAGGCTTGTCAGTAGATAGATAGGAGAATCCCACCCCACTTATTACCATATTTGGCAAGGAAGCAAGGCAGCCAGGTCACAAGTGTGACAACCAGGTAACCAGGTAGCAAGGTAGCAGTCAAGTTAGGTCAGGTTAAGTGCAAGTGCAAGGACACACCTGCCCTGCCTAAGTATGACAAGACAAGAGATGTGATGATGGGAACTGATCATCACATCTGACAGGTATGAAAACCTTCGAATCCTTTTACTCTCTGAGAAATAGTCCCACAGGACTTTTTGCTGGCAAAACCACCTGCCCTGGCCGCGTGTGTGCAGGCCTGATTGAGCCACATCCTCTTATCGCCCCATACCAGGGAAACCCAGGGTTTGAGGCCAGAGAGCAAGCAGGAAGTAACTAGAACAAGAAGTGAATATAAGAGACAAAAGCCTAGGCTGTTTAGTTCAACTAAGGGCACAGGTTAATAAAGCAAGCTAGTCTGGAGCATTAAAAGTTATCTAGACAGGCCTCTTTATAGTTTACCACCCTACTCTATATACCAGCAGTAAGCCGGTGCAAATTTTGCTAGCTACTGCTTCTTTTAAAGTATTAACACATTTTTAAAAACACTACTTTTTTTTAAGTTCTTAATTAAGAAGTCTTTTACATGTTATATCTCGGCTACAAGAACTGAACAGCCTAGGCTCAGGTTGATGAGGCAAGCTAGTCTAGAGCATTAAAAGTTATCTAGACAAGCCTCTTTATAGTCTACAACCCTACTCTACATACTCGGATGAGCTTGCATTATTTGGCGTTGCCAGGTTTGGCTGGGTGGGAGCTTGGATTTCTCCCTAGTTGCCTTGCTTTGTTAGTAAGCAACCATCTTGACCACAAGACCTATAACGCTGTTGTCGTGGGGCTTTACAATGCCCGCATCAACGTCCTTAAACTTGTCACGGCAAGAAGGATGGGCACTAGCTCGAGCAAGACGCTCGTCCGCATTTTAAATAATTCATGCACCACCGCATCCATGACGTGGTAGCTCTCCAAGGAGTGTCCCGGGTTGTACGGGTGGAGAGTGAGAAGACCGCCGCATACAAGGGCGCTAGGGATCTACATATCTCGAGGTTTTCTTGATAGTTTGTCACGTCCCGGAACCCTTCGAAACGAGGCTGGCTGAAGCTGTGAAAATGGCAGATGTGGTCAAAAATGTTGGTCAAAATAGATAGAACATAGCCCTAGTTCCTGTCCGAAGAGCGCCGCTGTTCCATGTGCCCAGGACCAAGGGTTCAGAACATCTAAAACAGCGTGTTCACTCGCTCTTTGAGTTATAAGGGGGAATTGCAGGGTCGATCTTGTTTAGGAGCTTCACTAGGTCCTTGTTGAAAGTGGGCAAGGGTAATGGGGTTTTGAAGGGTGGAAATAGATAGTTAATATTGATATCTGTTGCAGAGTCCCCTAACTCCCTCGCTTGTGCAGTGCATGCCGCTATCCTTGCTTTATGCACCGCTGTCTGCTTGGCCTTCTCGCCGGGCTGTTTAGGGTTTTGTCAGGGGAAACCCTGATGCCGTCACTTGATCCCATCAAGCGCCACGTCTCCGCTCGCGTCTCCGCGTCTCCGCACCCTGATGCTCTCTCTCCACTGCCTGCACCACATCCCACATCCAGTGATCCCCAGTCTTTAACTCCCCTGGTCCCCTCCGGAGGTCCCTCCGGAGTCACCATCAGGGATCACTAATGCCAACGGAGACCTCTCCGGATGTGAACGCACCACTTCCCTCTGAGACCTTGAGCCTATGGCCTTCTAGCCTCTCCGGGCTGTTACTTATCAAGGCCTCCTTACGATCTCTACCCGCTAAACCTCTTGGGTGTCCCCAACCTATATCAGCATTCGGGCTTACATTCGGATGGCTGAGCCTCGCCATGGCTCCGCTCTCCACCCCGCCACCACGGCCCCTGTCATCGGGTCTTCCCCTGGGTGAGGCCTACTGCCGTTAAGGCTCGTGCCTACTGCAGCGCCCCAGGCTGCACGCCCTCACACCTCCACCTCTCTGGAGACGTCCGGGGACGTCTCCGAGTGACCCCCTGTCGCTACCCTCCAGTGGTCATGGCTGGCCGCCATTCCCATTGGTCCTCTTCGACACTCCCCGGCCCTTGGGCTAGACCAGACTCCTTCCCTTTCCGCTCCACGCCTTCCCTCTCCGTTTCCGGCCGTCACGTCACGGTCACACACCCGGAGTCGATTCCGATTCCGATTCCGATTCCGGTTGTCACGTCACGGTCACAAGCGGAGACGCCCAGAGGCAGCCTGGACCTCCCGAAGCCCTTCTTGGGCCTTCTAGGGATGCCTGGGCCCCTCCCTTGGCATCACGGTCCCAAACCTGCCTCTCCGGAGCTTCGAGGGCTACTCGACACTCACCTAGGGTCCATTAGCGACACCTGACTTCTCCAACCCGTCATCCGTCGCTACGCAGTCACTCTATCATTACTCCGGTCACTAGTATATAGTAGTGCACCTGGGCAGAGGGCTTCTTGGCTTGTTCTCTTAAGGATTCCCTCTCTGCTCAGGTGAGTCTGTAGCGTCCCTTCCTGTTGTAGTAGTTCACTAAGGATTCCCCCTCTGCTCAGGACTCTGATTTCGAGCCTCGCGAGGTTGTCCTTACAGGTTTTTGGTATTATCCTCCTTTGCAAACGCAATGATAGCTTTCTTGATGTATTCCTGCATTCCCTCCTTTGCTCTCGGGCTCTCGCTAGGGTCCGCGCTGTAAATATTAAGGTTGGGTTTGATGTAGCACATCGTCCCGTCCGGCTCCGTGGTCTTCACTGTAAATGTGTTGCGGAGAACGATGTGGCCTGGCCCGAGAATCTTCATGAGAACCTATGACATGTCAGCAAGTTAGTGCCAGTGCGAGTATGCACACACACCTCATAGTTGGTGTTGCAAAGGTTGCGCAGTTTGTTTGCAGAGGGCAAGATTTTGTCGAACATGATAAATTCATGCAGTTTAGTGAAAAAAACCCAGGTGGTTGCAGTGCCAGGTTACCTATTTATCATTGTCCTTTGAGCTTTGGGCGGTACCAATAAAAGCCTGGTTGAAGAGTTAC